GGAGCCCCCGGAAGTCCCTGCCTCCTTCTGGAGGGAAGTCTCAAGCCAGCCCAGCTCACACCCAACACCGACAGGGAGACAAACCTCATCAGGCAGAGGCTGCAAGATCCCAGAAACACATTAAGTCTGTCTTTGTGAAAGAAAATGATACTTCTGCAGGCAGGTGGTACTATTTTGGGGAACATTTTTATGTGCAATTTAGAGTGCACATTCTACACACAGCTCAGACAGAAATAATCAGTTTAATGTGTGTCTGCACTGTCATGTGATCAAGCTATAGGTGAGAGCAGATTTACACACCGAAATCAAAAGGACATAGCAGGGGCCGTCTTCTGCTACATTCCATGACAATAAATGTTCACGCGGTGGAGGTCTGCCAACCCACCTCGCTGTTTCTTTTATTCCTTCCCAGAAAGTGCTTGAATTTGAAAGAAAATTAGTTTCCAAGGTGCTTGAGTGAATATGTTAAATACAGGTTTTTATTAACAAGGGGCACATGTAAACAAAAGAAACATAAACAGGAGGATGCCTGGCAGCCGGTATGCTGAGCAGTGAGCTCAGTGTCAGGGAGCTTTTCTCCAAATGAAGTGTGTGGAAGTTTATGGGAATTCTTGAATGGAGGTTTCAGCTCAAGGATACGTGCTGCTTCTCTGGTGTCTGCATGGAAGATGCTCAAACCGACTGCTGAATTTCTACTGCATTGAGCATCTGTCAGGCTGGGCTCCCAAGGGGCTAGGATGGTGGAGGAACAACAGTCACTTCACATTCTAAGGTTCACAGCATAGTTTTCAGAAAGTTCAACTTTCAAATGAAAGCACTGTTTTCAGGATGATTTTTTCAGTAAAAAACTCCTCTGAAAGAATCTGCATATGACGATGTCGAGAAGTAGAAGCTCCTGAGTCAAACCACAACGCAGATCTACACACAGGGTAATAGTCAAAATATGTGTGTGTCACCCCTTGGCTCCCCAAGATAATGAATCAGTGCAGACTTCGAAAAAGCAGCTGTGTGGAGCCTGCAAGTCACCTTGGCCGCAGCCTGCACAAATGGAGAGGGGAAACTTGGAGATTAAAGGGCAACATTTTCCCTTGAAATGGAATCATTGTGATATGGGATTTGATTTCCCCCCCAAAGTTCTGAAGAAAAACAACGTTTTTCCTGCTGTGATGAATTTATTCTGGAGGTTTGAAAGGAAACCCGGGTCTCCAGAGGAGGAAGACACTGAGTCAGGAGGGTGCAGTGCAGCTTCAACACATGTGTTCTCATTTATCAAGGGGTGGGGCTCGGGTGTGAACGGGAAAATACCAAGGGTGAAAAGATTCAAGAGGATCAAATTATTTTTCCATTTGTCTCAGAAGGAAAGAAAGAGAGGAAATAAAAGAGGGAAGGAAAATCATTTCATTATGTGGTGATCAAATGGAACTCTAGGTTGCAAGCGAGTGGCAACTTTATTTTTCAGAGCAGCTCACTCTAGGGTGTCCTGAGCGTCCTGGGGTGCAGGCTGTGACTGTGGAATTTGAAAACAGCAGGAGCATGAGAACAGAAGTTGCACGATGTCTACACTTGTCATCTCTCGCATGATCTCCTGGCTACCATACTTCCTCACCCCACCTGGATGAGTTAGTTCAAGGGAAAGAGGAAAAGTATTAACTTGAATGTTTACTCCCTCCTAGACATTTCCCATGCATTTCCCCCCAAGTTTAAGTCCCCAAAGGAAATAGTATTATCCCATTCTAGAGGGAGAAAAAATTTCATTGTGGGCCTCATTCAAAGTGCCATGACTAGTAATGGAGCAGACCAACCTGTTGTGGGAGCCAGCTCTTTTTAGTTACTCCACATTGCCTTCCCAACAGGTGCCTTGACATGTGAGCTGGCGGTTACAATGTCCACTTAGCATCACAGGATAAAAGCACCAGTTCTATCACACCCTAGTAAAGCAAAGTCAATTGCAGGACAGGCAGGAACGAGAGCACATTAGGTTTCATTTGGGGAATAGGAACATGTCCGCCCCTAACTGTGAGGAAAGGCTCACTGCTTTACCCTGTATCAGAGGAGCAGAGTAATTAGTCATTATCCTGCTGATTAGCTCAGTGAGGTCCCAGGGCTGATACTTTACACTTGCTGACCATCCTTTGCTTTGGCACCTCTAGCACACACCCACAGTGTAAAAAGTCTTGAGCCCTGATGCTATTCAACCTTCCCTTTCCCTCACACTTCTCATGGAGGCAGTATCCTGTACAAGGAACTCAGTCCCATGCTCTCCAAAAGTCTCTCTCTCTCAGGTTCTCCCACAGCGTTAGAGACATGGATGAAATTCTTGTTGGCTGCCATGACGATGGGCCCAGGAAAAGGAGCTACTTCCAGTTGCCAGAAGAAAAGGAAGAAAACCCTTGGTCTCCTTGGATCCTGCCATGTCAGGGAGATGTAGATCCGGGAGGGGCTCTGGAGTCCAAGTCTTAGTTTTGTAGCAAGCAATTTCACTACAAATATTTTCATTGCATAACTAATTGGCTATAAGACAATTTTTCTTTAAGAGAAAAAAATGGAGAAAAAAAAGATGTCATGAAACACGAAAGGTTAACAAAAAAACTAAACAGCCCAAATACAAATTTAATTTACTTTTAAAAATATGTGTAGATTCTTGGCCACATTATGCACAGAACTGATTTTCTGTTGTGGATTGTACTTAAGCACTTTTCTTCCAAGTCTTTCATTCATTCACAGTGTTGTATACTTTTTTTGGTGATCAAATTTACTGTAAGTGTAAAATCAGAGAGCATTAGGCCAGGCTGCATACTACTATGCCAGAAAATGATAACACATCAGTTTGCAAAAAGTTCAGTTCCTATTTCATCAGTGGAGAAATGAAGCCGAACTGACAACTAGTTTAAATACTTTAAAGTCCACTGAAGGTGGTTGATTGATTAGTCAATGGAAAAATGAGACCAGACTGTCAACCTGTTAGTACTTTTCTCTTTTATGGCAAAATTGCCTCACAGCCAATTAGCTAGACAGCAAAAATACTTGCAGTGAAACTGTGTGTGGAGAAGAGGCATTCTGTGAAACTGCTAGAACCACATGACATTTAGGATTTCTCGGGTGGGTCACAGGCTAGGCTTACCCTGACCTTGTGCACGGGATGGAGTAGGATGTGCTCTCCATGGATCCATGGCTGTGGGAAGAGAGACACAGCTGTCTGGAAGGCCAGACCCCTGCAGTTTTTTGAAACATGAGTCTCCTACTTATTATGATGATGATGATGATGATGATTTTTTTGCAGCTTTAACATAAACCTATCGTAGTCTCCTGACAATAAACAGGATCAGAAGAAGGAAGACAGATGGGAAAGAAAAGAGGAAGGCAGCCAGAGTTGTTGCAGCTAAAATGATGCAAACTCTGCATCTGAAGGGGAGAGGAGGCCATTCTGCTGCTACCAGGGGTGAGCTTTTCTGTGAATGGGAGAAAGGAAGACAGACCAAATGCTGAGAGTCCTGATCGTGAGGACCAGGCATGGCCCTGAAGGCTGTTCCAGCCTTTGCCATGAGCCCACTCTGCTGATCTGAGGCGTGAATGGAGTAGATTTCGAAAAGAAATCAGAGTCCTGAAATCCCTGGGGATGAGGAAATAATACCCCTAGTTTGGAGGGTGGGGGCCATGGTCCTTACTGAGGTACAGGAGGCCAGACTGAAGATTCAAGTCAAAATTGAGACTTCCCTGTCCCTCCTGCTTAGTCAAAGCAGAGGATGGTGACCTCTGTAGACAAGCCCATGGTAGTCAGGAGTTGTCCCCAGTCTACAACAGATGGCCCAAGACCATGGGCTTGTTTGGTTCAGAGTCCTCTCAAAATATCGGAAATAAATGTTGGGCAGAGGGTGGAGAGTGGGGAAGACACAATGACAGTGACACTGAGCACTGACTTGACCAGGCAGCCTGGGAAATGCAGTGTGATCAGGAAGGAGTGATCCCTACAGTCTTATTCACTCAAACTGACAAAAGGAACCACTGTTCAGAAGAGACAGTATCTCCCCAAAGGAGAACAGTGTGTGTATCTCTGAGGGTACTGTAGACCCTAGCAAGAGGAGCTGCTTGGAGCTGCAGGAAGAGTGTGATCAAAGTCCATTCCTTGGACCTGAGAGCTTCATGGAGTTGATAGAATGGGAAGAGCTCAGGAGTCCCATTGAAATGAATGAAACTCTCCATTTCATTCATTGCAAACATGTAAATTGCAAGCAAGAAATAGACAGACTTGATTTCAAGTCCACAGCCCCAGTCACCTTACTTTTCAGGGGGCCTCCCATGGTTCCAGATCATGAAGATGGAGACAGTGATCCCTGCCTCTGCAGTTGATATACAGGTCAAATGAGACAGCATGTGCCACCACTTAAATAGTCAATCACCTTGCAATTATTAGTTGTCATTATGCAGATAAGCCCCAATGATGGAGGACCCATACAGGTAACAGCCTTGTCTGTAGTCAGTCATGGAAGGTCTGGGATTTGAACCCTACATCTGCTGTGATAGGCAGGTTCCAAGATGAAGCCAAAGATCCCACCTCTTGATATTCTTACCCTGAGTAGTCCCCTCCCACACTGTGTCCAGAGATATGGCAGAAGAAAAAGTATGGCACTTCCAAACTTAGGTTCTAAGAGTATGTTGAGCAGAGTAGATTGGCAGTTTCCAGGAGCTGGGACTGAGGGAAATGGACAAGTTTTTGTCAAAGGACTTCTGTCACCATTACACAAGATGACCAAGTTCTGGAGGTCTCAGGTATGGTCTGGGGATTAGCATTAGCCATACTATATTGTAAATTTGAAATGTGCTAAGAGGGCAGATGTGTTAAGAGGGTTCTCACAACACATTTATATACAAAAGGTTACTGTGAGATGTTGTTAATTGATTTGATTATAGTAATCATTTCAGTATATAAGTATATAAAAACACCAGTTTGTACTAGTTTGTCAATTATACCTCAATAAAGTTGAGAGACTGAGAGCTCGAGATCTATCCCAGGAGTGCATCTGGAGAGTGGCCAGTGTTCTGCCAGCAGCAGAGATGGGAAGGGAAGCAAGTATGGCAGAAGCAAACATTCCAGCTCCAGCTTGCTCAGTAGCTGGTGATTGGAAGCACTCTGCAACGGTGTTCAAGCCCTAGGCCGGAAAGCCTCCTTCTAGGACTCCTCTTTGACATCGGTCTCTGCCTCTTTCTTGAAGGCAACATGACCACCCTCAGACCCCTCATGAAGCACAAGATGGTACAAAAGACCAAGAAGTTCATCTGGCACTAGTCAGGCCAACCTGTCAAAATGAAGTGAAATTGGCAGAACCCCAAGGCACTGACAATCGGGCCAGACCTTGATCCCTAGCATCGGCGAGAACAGCAATGAGGAAACAAAACACCTGCTGCCCCATGGCTTTGGAAGCTCCTGGCCACATCAGGGAGCTGGCAGCATTGCTGATGTGCAACAAAGCATACTGTGCAGAGGCTGTTCACAACCTCTCCTCCAAGAACTGCAAACCATGGTAGAAAGAATGGCTCGGCTGGTCACCAGTCACCAATCACAATGTCAGCATGCACAGTGAGATAAGACAGTTCCTGTGCACATTGAATTTGGGTGATTAAAGCTGTAAAAATTAAAGAGAAAGAGAGAGCCAGAGAGCAAGTCTGTGGCTGTCATCTTGGGCTTGTATCAGTGCTTGCTCTGGGGAGAGCCAGCACATGGAGCAGCCCACGTGGTGGTGAGGAACTGAGGAGGTGCCCTCGGCCAGCAGGATCTGGAGGCTGCCAACAACCACATGCGTGAACTTGGAACAGGATCCTTCGGGTTTTGTTCTAGCCAGTCTTAGCCAACAGCTTGCCTGAAACCCAGCTGAACCACTCCCAGTTCCAATCCCACTGAGACTGCGGGAGAATAAAATGTGAAGTTTGGGGTAATGTGTTACGCAGTAATAAATTAATACATCATTCTTGCTATTACACCCTCCAATATTATATTTCAGTTCTTTCAATGAATATTAACTGGGTACCTAGTATATACCAGACTTCAAATCAGGAGATCCAAATGAAGACAGCTTCTTAGAGGGCGCTCAAGCACCAGCTTATGAAGGGCAAGAAAGGGGAAAGGAAGACTTCCCTAAATAGGAAAGTAAAATGAAATCAACAAGTGAGGAAGGGAAAGGCATTTGGAGATGAAGGGCATCCCGGAGAGAAGAAGCAGAATGGGGGTGAGGGAGAGCAATTCAGAGCCATTAGGAGTGTAGCCTGGAGGGGGAGGAGGGGAAGAGATGAATTAAGGACATAATGGGGCAACTGGATGCTAATAGACCAAATATACCAAATTATCAGCCTCCTCCCTTGGCTTGGAACAACAGATGCCAACTGGAACCACAAAGAGCTGATTCTCACCACATTTCCAGAAGATGAGGAAAGAAACACCGTGACGGAGGTCTAATTAATTTTCTGGGAGAGTCACAACAAAGAAACACAGACTGAGTAACTTAAGTAAAGAAAAATTATTGTCTCATAGTTCTGGAGGACAGAAGTCTGAAATCAAGGTTAAGAGCGGGATTGTTGAATTTTGAGGACTGTGAGGGAGAATCTACACCATCCCTTGCCCTAAGCTTCTGCGGGGCTGCTGGCCATCTTTGGGGGGCCTTGGCTCTGGAAACATCACCTTGATACCTGCCTTCATTTTCATGTGACATTCTACTTGCATTTGTGAGCAAATATCCCCTTTCAATAAGCATACTGCTCATGCTACATCAGGATAAACCCTAAAAACCTTATCTGCGCTCGATCACCTCTGTAAAGACCCTATTTCCAAAGAAGGTCACTTGCTGAGATGCTGGGGATTGAAACTCCAAGATACAATTTTCATGTGTGTGTGTGAGAAGGGGTGCGAGGGAGCACAGTTCACTCCTGAGAGTGATGTTGGGTGATAGGAGCCAGTTGAGGGGTCTTTTTTAGAATCACCCACAAGTCCATGAAAAATATGCAGTATCCAGATAGTTTTTAGGTTTGCCTTGGCCAGATAAGGGGGCAGAAACAAAGCAATTCCATTGGTGTTAGAAGGTGAAGTCATCTCTTCTTTCCATGTGGAGTTGGGAAGGTAACCACCCTTTAAGTGGGGCTATGGGTGTGGTTTTCTTCTGTAGTCAATGAAGGTGAGCCAATAAACTGCTTTTTTTAAAAAAAAAAAGATTTATTTATTTTTATACAAAGAGCTGGGGTACAGGCCAGAGGTGCAGGAGGGTGAGAGAATTCACCAGAGACAGAGTAGGGAACAGAACAGGCAGACTGATGAAATACACTGCTGAGGGGAGCAGCGGGCATGACAGGAGAGGTCTGCTGTACCATGGGGGAATCTCCCTGGCTGGCCGACTTAAACCCTGCGCTGCAGAAGCTACGGACAGCTTCACAGCGCTGCGCTCAACCCGCTGTGCCACTGGGGAGGTGCCTAAACTGCTTCTTTAGAGGAAGGCTCTGTGGAGATCCCAGATGGAGGTGACTTAAATCCACACCATTCTAAAATGTCTCCTCAACCTGGAAAACCCTATCCCTGCACCTTGCTTTTTTTTGTGTGGAATTCCCTTCTTCCTAAGTTCTCCCCACCATCTGCACTCCACAGGGACAGCTCTGGAGACTGCTGTCTCTCCCCTGTCAGGGCCCAGTGGCTGCTGGGCCCTAGGGCCAAGCAAAGAGGACTTCTGTTTTGACTCTTCGTTTTCTCACATTTTCCCTTTAAACGTAGCCTGTCTTATATCTCTCTATCTTATTTTTGTTTCTAACCCCCTCTGTTCCTCTTCAATGTAATTTTAAAGTGAAAACATATGGCTGTAAACCCAGGTCTCTCCATTTACTCAGCTGCACCTACTTATTCAATTTAAACTGGAAGGCTAGTTTACAAACTTTCAAAAATAAGTCCTGGGCCAATGTGGAGAACTGTATAAACATAGGTCTAATTTCATTTCTACTTGTTTCATTTTTTTCTCTCTCTGGCAAATGACCTTCCTAGTCCAAAAGCCAGAACATATGCATGCATATATGCACATACACACTTTTTCTTTCTGGAAGTTACTCCTTGATTTCTAATTCTGTAACAAAATAAACAGATCTTGAATAGAAAAATGAGAGTTTTTAAGAGGCAGTTTCCAGCAAACTGTCAATTAACATTAATGACATCATTCAGCACAATATCAGTTTAAAGGACTTCAGAACAGAGCATTTGATTGTTATAAAAATTACTAACTGAGTAAGTGAATTTTGCTTTCTCTCCATGAAAGGCACAAATGCACTGGTTTGTCTAACTGCTGACTCTAATCCTTTTTCACTTTTGGAAGGAAAAGGAGTGCAACTTTGGAAAGTAGAGCAAAGAACATAATTTCTGGCAATCCAGCTGTTCATATTTTAGTACAAGAGAGCCAAAAGGAGAAAATTAACTAACCACGAAAAATTCAAGTTATTTTATTCTAAAGCAACCAATATTGTAGCCATATAAGTTCATTATTTGACCCCATCCTGCCCACAATTTGATTTCACATTTATAGACCAAAAAGGATGATAAAATGTGCCATATTGAACGATAACTAGTTTTCTTCCATTTGTAGGACACAGGACCACACATTTTCGTTTAGTATCTTATGTGACCCTCACAAAAACCCTGTTAAGGATCTCACCCAAGATCACTCTAACAGAAGTGGTAGAAGAAGATTTCAAACTATGTCTTATGAAGGCAAAGGCAATGCTTTTCCTCTCCACTGGGAGGTATAGACAAATCTGGGGTTCTGTCATGTTCTCAGTGTCACAAATGATCCTACAAGAAGCATTATCCTTGTTATGAAATGAATTGTGTTCGCTCCACATTTATACCTTGAAGCCCTAATGCCAATGACTGTTTTTGGAGCTAGGCTTTCAAAGGAGGTATTTAAGGTTAAATGAGGTCAGAAGGGTGGGGCCCTAATCCAGTAGAACTAGTGTCCTTGTAAGTAGAGAGGGAAACACAGGAGACCTCCTCCGCCAGCACGCAGAGAGAAAAGCCAAGTGAGGACAGAGCAAGCCAGGAAGAGAGATCCACCCCCCAAACCAAACCTGGAGGCACTGATGTTACATTTGGACCTGCCAGAACTGTGAAAAACTAAATCTTTATTGTTTAAGCCACTTAGTTTATGCTATTTTGCTGTGACAGCCTGAGCAGACTGAAATAGTTCTGTTGGGGAATTTGCCTCAGGGGCTAATCCCTTAGTTTTATCCTATTTAAGGAACCAGACCTCCTGCCCTTAATAGTGTCAGATTTTCTCACTGTGCAGAGGCCTCTTGGAAAAAACCTGAAGAATTTCTTGAACTTAGGACTTTATGGAAGAAATAAAAGATTAGATAACTGAACCCTCACTTCTGCCCGCTTGGAATTGAAAGCCATAATCACATCATCAAAATCACGTAGTGTAAAAAATACTACTCATGAAACAGCAAAGTTGTAAAATTCTGTTTCTTGCTTGATTTAAAAACTGGTGAGAACCTTTCGCTAGGTGTGACTTAGGGTTTTAACTCTGATGGATCAAACTGTGGCCATCTTTAGCCTCTGAGGGGCTCAGTCCAGCCATGAGACAATGGCTGATTGTACACCAGGATGTTTTTGTTTGCAGAAGAATCCAGTTCATATGAATATTATCACTAGGATTCCTTTTCCACATGTCATGTCATCTCATGAACATTATTGCTAAGGAGATTTCCTCTTGGCCGCACTTGCTGCTAAATGTTTGCTATAGGTTATTTGGTATTCCCTTCCCGGTCATCTTGAGGATTCTCTGTTCTTGCAAGTTGATATTCCCCTTTACCTCACCAGCTCTGCAGCACCAGCGCAAGGCCTGATCCCCTATGCCAGTCAAAGTGTTAACACTTGTGATATCATTTCATATCCCTGCAGCTGCAGGCAGTCAGGGGTGCGCTTTCTTTCAAGCCATGGTGCACGTTGTTATCGGCGCTACCCTCTGATGAATTCCAGAAAGATAGCTATTCACTGTTAATCTTGACTGCTTCCCAAACATCTGTGGAAAGTGTAAGTCAAGCTCCTGATGCTTAGTCTTCCAGCACTGTCCTTTCCCTTACAAATTCTTCCCTTTCTGTACAACAGCACTTCCTCTCTT